CCCTACACGGCTCTGGCCATGCGGGCACTCTCCATGCCCTGATCTTTTCCTGGGGTCCGGAGCCTGCCTCCCTGGGCCTCTTCCTAGGGAAGGCTCTCCTGCACCAGCACCTCTTCTTTCTCACACCCCCACTTCTATCCGAGATTTCTTATTTCTCTAGTCCACTCCTTTGAGATCCCATCCACTCCCAGGCTTCGACTGGCACCTTAAGGAAATGACCCCGGATAGGACTCTCCAGGCCTGACTTTTTTCCAACTCTGCAACATCCTCCTGGATCTGCCCATTGCTGTGACCTGGGGCTGGAGCTCCAGCTTGGACGGTCATGTGCAAAGCCAGGAATTCTCCCTAAAGGATGGGTAACAACTTGAGGGCTAGGGGGACTGCGTTTCTATACCCCAACACAGAGAAGCTCCAAAGGATGTATTTGTCCAATAGAATTGAAATAGGGAGGTCATACCACAGTAGAAACCCAACCCTGAAAGATTTAGTTCTGGAGAGTGAGGTAAGTCCTGAATACCTTTTTTTTTTCTTTCTTTTCTTTTCTTTCTTTCTTTCTTTCTTTCTTTTTTTTTTTTTTGAGAGATTTTTGCTATAGGGTATATGTACTTGCCAGAGAGACAGAAAGTAAGAAAACACCCCTCAGGGAGGATGGCCATGTCACAATCCTTTCTCCTCCATTCTCCTCTCAGGATCTTGGCCATGCAAGCCCATATGCCGGCATGAGTTTTAAGCCACTGGATCTGGGACTTGAACTGCAATTGACTACTTACGAGTCCAGAGATGTAACTGCTCCGCCACCTGCTGGTCCCAGCCCTGAATATCTTCTCTGTGGTACACTGTTGTGGTGACATCCCATTTGTTCAGCTTCCCTGTATCAGTGTCCTTCCATATAGACTTGGGCCGTGGCCATGTGATCCACTTTGACCAATAGGAGAACAGTAAACATGGTATGGGTAGAGACTTGAATAGCACTTGGCCTTGACCTCTTTCACTGCAATGGAACCCGGAGACCACTATTCAAATAAGCCCAAGCTAGCCTGCTAGCCTGCTTGAGGACAAGAGGCCTTACTGGAGGAGAACTCAGGGCCCCGCCATTAGCCAATTGCCAGACATGAGCAAGGCCCTTGGCCACACTGGGCAATTGAGTCTAGAGAAACCACCCATCTGAGCCCAGTCCCACTGCTCATCTACAGAATTATGACGTGAATAAACTGCTTAAAGCTAAGTTTCAGAGGTGGTTTGTTATGTACAAACACTAAATGAATCACTCCTTAGCACAACTCATTACAAACAGTGTCTGGAAGATGAAGATGGTCAGGCAATAGACTCTACCACCCAGTCACAAGGCTGCGAGGTGCTTGACACTCTGTAAGACACCACCAGAGGTGGCCCTGGACCTTGGGCCTCCAATCTACAAGCTGAGTAAACCTCTAATTTTATAAAATACCCACTTTAAGGCATTTTCTGTTATTAGCAGCATAACAGAATGAAACACCTACTGACTATCCCCTGGGATTCGACTGGATCTTGAAGCTCTACCTACTTGCTGTATTTCCCACCAAGGATCCCAATGTAAGTTGGTGCCAGATGGTGACACCTGCTGTGAGTGAAGCAAATGGGACAGGTACTACTCAGAAGAAATCAGGAGGCTGGGCCAGCCTTGGGCCTGATGGTTAAGGGAGCTGGATTCAACATGGCCGACCGTGCAGTTCGAGCCCGGGACTCAGTAGCTTGAGAAACACACTGGGTGTGTGTGCCTGCATACCCCAAATCCTGACGTCTCAAGGCCACCAAAAAATGCAGTATTTATCCTTTATTTACGATCAACGGACCACAAAGATGTGTCCACAGCAGGGCATGGCCAGGGAGACCAGATGCCTGGGAAACAGCATGCCCTTTGCTGGGGGAGAAGAGGTTGCAGGGTGACCACACCCCACACTCTCTCTGTCCCTCTCTGGTGAGTGCTTGTGCTCTCTTATAACTTAAAAAAAAGTATTTATTTAATTCCATTTATTATTATTATTATTTTTTAATTTGACCAGAAAGAGACAGAGGGAAAGGGAAAGCGAGAAAGCAAGCCACCAGGTCCGGGACTCAAACTGTGGTCAGCCATTCAGGAATCCAGCGCCCCAATCACTATGCCACGTGTTGGCCCCCTTTTGTAAGTTTTTTAAAAAGAGAAAAAATAAATCAGAACGGGTGAGAAATGGGAGCGAGGTGAGAGATAGGGAATAAAGGAGCAGGGGAAGCAGCAAAACATACAAGATATAAGAAATGGAAAATTACTAGTTGACGATAACACGCATGGTAATACCCTTGCTTGAGCCAGTGTACAGTGTATTCTGGGTGGCGAATCTCATTTTGTATACTGAAATGAGGTGCAGTGAATGGGTGTAAATAAAATAAATTTAAAATAAAAAAAGAGAAAGAAATCAGGGTAACCAGGAGCTAACCAGAGCACGGGGCTGCTCCCAGGGGCAGAGGCGCTGCCATCTACCTGCAGGTCACACACCCAGCGTGTTTCTCACAAGTTCTGGACCCCTCTCCGCGCCTTGCCTCCACAGACTTCATACACCACCTTGGGACCCATATGATGAGAACTGCAGGTGACCTGTGAAAATGGCTTGGCTTGTGTGTGTGATTTTCCCCATAGTCTGTTCACATCCGGCCTCAGCTAACTCGGTGAGCCGGCAAATAGCTAGAATATTTGTAAGCTGTGGGCAGGTTAAAAAGTCTATTTATAGGGCCAGCCCATGGCATGGGGTTAAGGCAGCTGAATTCCACATGGCTGACTGTGTGGTTTGAGTCCTGGACCTGAAGGCTTGAAAAACACATCGGGCACACGTGCGTGCATGCCCAAGATCCTGGGAAATGGGGAAGGGACTGCAGTGTAACCATCTCCCGTGGGCTGTGTTTCTCACTTTCTTTCCCTCTCTCTGTTTCTCTCCGTTGAGTGCACGTGTCCTCTTACAAGATTTTAAAAAAGAAGTACGTTTCTAGCCATCAGCCTTGGAATGTGGAAGCGTGTGCCTGGGAGTGGACCATTTCAGGGGTGTGGTGCAGAGACCGGGTGGTATTTACTTTCCCCAAAGAACCACCCAGACCTCTCCTGTGACCTCAGTGTACCTTGGCCCGAAGTCAGATCCTCCTCTCATCTCTAAGACTATCTTTTCTTCTCCCCAAATGACCAGACATCTGCAGATCAGACTAGCTCGCCGGTGGGAGAAACCCAGCTCTAACCCAGGGAGATGCTGGCTTGAAGTGCTTGGCTCTCCCAGCCCCTGGACGCTGCGGCTCCCACACCCAGTAGGGGCAAGGCCGTGCCAGTCAGCAACATCAGAGGAATCCGAGGGGAGGGCGGGCGAGATGTTTCCACTAGGGCCTTCGCTGTTCATCTGCACCCGCCTGCCTTTCCGGTTTCAGTGTGGAGTGAATCCACTCCAGGGCCCCTGGTTTTCCTTTCTGTCCTCATAGACCACACTGGGGACGAGTGCTTGTTTTCTTTCTTTCTTTTTTTTAAGAGAGATTTTTTTCTTTCTATGGGGCCTGTGCGCTCGCAGTAGATAGAGAGAGAGAGACAGAAAACAAGAAATCACCCTTGAGGGGGGATGGCTATGCTGCAATCCCTTTTCCATTTTCCTCTTGCGATCTTGGGTATGCGTGCACATGCACCTGGCGTGAGTTTGAAGCTGCCTGGTCTGGGACTCAAACCAAGGTCGACTATGTGGGAGTCCAGTGATGTCACCACTACGCCATCTGCTAGTCCCTCTTTCTTTCTTTTTAATGGCCAGAGAGTGTGTGCTGTTTCCAGGAAGAGAGAGGACAGAAGGGAGAGAGGGGCAGAGAAGGCACCCCTGATGGAGTACGGTCACACTGCAACCCTTCTCATTTCTCCATCCGGGTGGAATTCGGGGCATGCACACACATGTACCGGGTGGTCTTTCAAGCCGCTGGGGCCGGGATTCATACTGTGTGCTCAGCCATGTGGGACCCAGCTCCCTCAACCTCTAGGCTAAGGGGTCAACTTTTGTGTTTTTTTTTTTTTTGACTCTGAAGGTCGGGTAAGGAGCTCAGAGTGTGCCTGGTGGCCCACATTCAAGATGACAGCCTGCTTCCCCAAGAACAGAATGGGGCTCTCATATTCCAGAGAATGGAGGTGTGGCCTCCAGGCTGGTCACAGAGAGAGTTCTGATGTGTCTGGCCTGGTGGCACTGCCCCAAACTCACGACATCGCCCAGGGTCCCGGACCGTGACAGTTCACGGCCAGCTCCTCGGCTGCCCGGCTTCTTGCCCGCTCAGTGCTCTCCTTCCCTCCTCTGCTTGTTCTCGGGCGCCAAGGCCACTGAGAAATGCCATGTTTACCCTTTATTTATAACTGATAAACCACAAAGGTGTCTCCCCAGGGCATGGCCAGGAGAGTTCAAATGCCTGGGGGACAGCATGCCGTTTCAGACACGCACGCACGCACACACGCGCACACGACCAGCTAAATGCCGACGCATTGTACTCCCTCTTACGGCTTCGGGCACATTCAGGACACCGCGCCGTGCTGGCTCTGAAGTTCAATTTCCTCCCTCTGTCCTAGGATTTGGGCTCTGATGTCACCCTCGGCAGGAGCGTGCACAGGCCTCCCCCAGCGGGCCAGCCCTGCCAGTTTGTGTTTATGGTGCTGACGGGGTGGGACGCAGAGGGCGTTAGACGGCGCCACCTCCCGAGGCCTTTAAAACCTGTGTGCAGAAGCGCAGAGCTGCTTCGAAGAGCTTGGAACATATCACATACTTCACCAGATTTTTAAAAATTTATTTAATAAGACAGAATGCATGTGCACACACGTGTGTGTATGTGTGTGGGGGGGAGAGGGAGAGGGTGTGAGAGAGAGAGAGAGAGAGAGAAACAGCATTCTCGACAGGGTCGCCACACCTCGATCCCCTTGCCGCGTCCTCCCATGGCTCAGGATCTGTCATGCGCACATGCACCCGGCGAGTCTGAGGCTGACTTGGGGACGTACGACCCGCAGTCGCCCCGTGGCTTCCAGCACACGATGGACTGTGCCGCCTGGCTGCTTCTTCCTCAGATTTTAAAACAGGCAGAAAATACCCAATGGCAGCCGAGGCACGCGGTTTGAGGTTGCGCGGGTCCCTCCTGCCTCCTACTAGCTGGTGGGAGTGCGGAAGCTGGTCCCCACCGAGGTGGCCCTGGCCAGCAGACACAGCACACGGCCACTCTCTAGAAGGGCCTCCTCCCGGCCGGGAGCTGAACCCTGCTGGCTGGTGTGGCCGTGCACTGTCCACACCCAGGGCCAGGGGCTGTGGCTGCGGAATCCGGAGCCCTCCCGGGGCCAGGAGGTCTGCCGAGGGCAAAAGCCCTCCTCCTCCTCTGGTGCCAACGGTGATCAGGAGAGGTTCCCGCCAGGACGGGAGTCACAGGCTCTGCTGGGGGAGAAAGAGCCCCGGATGGTGGGCCGCAATGGCCTTGCTCCTGGGCTGCCGCCCGGGGATAGCTATCTCTTCACATCCGGCCCGCAGCTGCCGCTGGCTGAGAACGGGAAGCTGGCTGGTCCTCAGGCAACGTGACGGCGACACCGGGGAAAGCCTCCATCCTCACTTCCTGTAACTCTGGTTGCCTGGGGAAGAAAAGCCCGAGCTGGGGCAGCGCCAGGCGCTGCACAGAACCCCCTCTGTCCCAGCAGGCCCTCTCTCACGCGCGTGTGCAAACAGAGCAGGAGCCTCCGGCCCGCCTGCCCGCGGGTCGCCTGCTCCGCGGCCAGGACACCACGTGCTTGGCCTGGCTCCTTCCGCACAGGAAGCAGGCTGCCCGGTGTGGCTGCTCGGCCAGCTTTGCTGGCATGGGCCCGAGTGCTTGCTGCATCCGCATCACAGAAACTCCACCGTCCGCTGCTTGGCCATGCACTGGGGGTGCACCCCGGGGCAGCTGTCAGCCTGGGTGTTACAACTGCGAGGTCCTAGCGGGGGTCCCCTAGCCTGGCGCACCTGGCTGAGCCCCTGCGCCTGTCAGAGGAAGTGGCCTGACCGTGCAGGGCGGGGAGGGTGGGGGTGTGGCCTGGGTCTCCACGGCTTTCTAGGAGCACAGGGAAGGCGGCCCACTACCCACACTCCAGCCCGTGGGTCCCTGTTGGCCAGAGTGCCCAGGGCCTGCCAGGAAGGGAGGGGACAGGCACAGAAATTGTGCCCCGAGTGTGGCTCTTTTGTGCCACTGGACACGCCTTTGTTCTATCCTTTTGTTCTCCATTTTCAGCAGAGCTCTTTAGAAAGGTCAGCTCAGCTGGGAGGCTGGGGGGAGGGTGGTGGTCAGCTGGCTGAGTGCGGGAGGGCAGAAGAGGGCTTAGGGGAGTCCTGAGGACAGAGAGAGGACCCTTTCCACCCCCGCCTCAGGCCCTTCTGGTGGCCCCTGCGTGGCCTGAGAGGAGGCAGCTGCTTCCTTTGGAGCCAGGTGGGCTGGGTCAGCAGGGCCAGGTGGCCGCTTCCCACCAGGGTCAGGTGGCCGCTTCCCACCAGAAGGAAAGTCCGGATTTCAGGGCCAACTGGGAGCAGCTGGGACAGGCCAGGACTGACCACGAGCTCCACCGAGGGGACCTTATCTCCAGGTGACACTGCCTGGACGGTCTTGCCTGTGGCCAAGAGCAGTCTAATAAGCAGGAAGGGTTGTCGACACAGTTTCTAGGACCATGGAAGCTGCTGCCCCGTGCCCCAGTCCTGTGGAGAGGGGAGCCCCCTTCCCAATACTGGGGGCACACAGAGCACAGCACGCTGACGGCAGAACCCTTTCCCTCCGTGGGCGCGGTGGGCTCCCGTGCCGGTCAGGACCCAGAATGACTCACTCTGCAGGCTCCTCACGGAGGAAGCGGTGGAGCCAGGGCGGCTGGCCTGCTGGGGGCCGCATGGGGACAGCTGAGGGGCCAGCACTGACGCCTTTGCCTTGGGGGAGTTCAGGTCCAGGATCTCCGGGGCGCGGGGGGCCCGGGACTTGCAGGTGAAGGCCATTGCACAGTCCCTGGAACACAACGGGCATAGCGGTTAGGCATGGGAATCACAGGACAGCTAGGGGCCCGGCAGGCACTGCCAGAGGCACGGGGTGGGTGGGGTCGCCAGGGCACCAGTGAGCCCTGTCCCCACTGAGCTCTGTGAGCCAAGGTGGGCAGACAGCTTCCAGGACATGCCTTAACTACCATGCCACCTGGCTGACCTTAAAATGTATTGACTAGGGAACCAGCAGTTAGCGTAATGGCTATGTCACTGGACTCCCACGTAGTTGACTGCGGTTCGCGTCCCAGACCCGGTGGCTTAAAACTCACTCCGGGCGCGTGTGCGTGCGTGCCCAAGATCCCAAGAGGAGAATGGAGGAGAAGGGATTGTCGCGTGACCATGCCCACTGGGGGGTGATAACTCGCTTTCTGTCTCTATGTCTCTCTCTGTCTAGCGAGCGCACGCGCCCTATAGCGAAAATCTAAAAAAAGACAAAAAGAAAAATGTATTGACTAGGGGCCAGCAGGTGGCACTGTGGCTAAGGGTGCTGGACTCCCACATGGCCGACCGTGGTTTAAGTCCTGGACCCGGCGGCTTGCTTTTTCTCTCTCTTGTCAAATGAAAATAAATAAGTAAGTAAGTACATAAATAAATAAAGTTAAACAAAAAATAATTATTTTAAAATGTATTGCTTGATCAATCATATCACCCCCAGTGGTTCCCGTGATGCCTTTGGCACGCATACGTGTCCACGCCCTGCAGCTGTGGCTCCACGCTGGTGCTCACGGCTGCTTCTTTCTTTTTACTTTTTTTGAGAGAGATTTTTGCTACAGGGCACATGCACTTGCCAGAGAGACAGAGAGAAACAGACAGAAAGCGAGAAATCACCCCCTAGGGGGGATGGTCACGCCGCAATCCCTTCTCCTCCATTCTCCTCTCGGGATCGTGGGCACGCACGCACACGCACCCGGCGTGAGTTTTAAGCCACCGGGTCCGGGACACGAACCACGGTCGACTATGTGGGAGTCCAGCGACATAGCCATTACGCTAACTGCTGGTTCCCTCTTCTCGGGATTTTGAGCACGCACGCACACACGTATGCTCCTGGCTTGAGTTTCAAGCTGCCAGATCCAGAACATAAACCATGGTAGGCCATGTGGGAGTCCAGAGACATAACCATATTACACCATCGGCTGGCCCCATGATGGCTGTTTTTTTTTTCTTTCTTTCTTTTTTTTTTTTTTTTGTTGAGAACGTGCGCTCTCCAAAAAGACAGAGAGAGACAGAAGTGAGAAATCCCCCCCCCCAGGGGGGATGGCCACTCCGCAATCCCTTCTCCTCCATTCTCCTCCCGGTTCTTGGGCACTCACGCACACGCGCCTGGCATGAGTTTAAGCCACGAGGTCCAGGACTTGAACCGTGGTCAACTACATGGGAGTTCAGTGACAGACTTTACGCTAACTGCTGGTCCTCATGACTGCTGTTTGTATGTGCATAACTCCATTCTCTCTCCACACGTGGTGGGGCCGGTCATCAGCATTTCTAATGCACGGGCTCCTTGCCTTTCGGCACCATGTCCCAGGAAGCCCCTGTAAGCCGAAGCATCAGTGAGCGCACAGCACCCGGCCTGCCCAACCTGCAGCATCAGCGCGCACCTGTCTGCCCTAACGTGCTGCCGGCACTTTCATTAGCAGATAGCGGGACAAAATCATCTGACACAAAGCTTATTTATCCTGCTGTTAACAGCATAAGTAACACCTAATGTAACTTCTTTTTCTTTTTTTTTTTTATTCGTGAGAGAGCATATGAGAGAGAGGGGCACACCTTAGAGTCCCGACCTGCCGCAATCCCCTTCCTGCAGCCTCGCAGCTCTGTAGGGTCCTGGGTGCCTGCGCCCCGGGCACGTGTTCAGGCTGACTGGGCGCGGAGCCTGCGTTTGGCCACGTGGCTTCCAGCATGGTCAGTGGGTACACGACCAACTGCGCCCGCAGGCGCACACCGCCCTGACAGTGAGGAGGAATGGAGGCACGCTGCAGGTCGTGAGCCCAGGGAGGGGTCGAAGTCAAACCCCGGAGC